AAACTAATAGTCATGGAAATAAAAATGCTAGAAAGTTAATTTTCGTGTTCGGTTACATGTGTGAGCCACTGTATAATATAAAATATAGTTTGGGTCTCATCCCTAATTTTTTTCCAATACACTGATCTATGGTAAATCACTGTGCATTTAGATTATTCCAATTTAGTCATGTTTTTTCGATTATGCCATTGTTCTTGTCTATGTATTTGTATATAAAAATAATCATCATACATTCTCCTTCTATTCATAATATCTTTAACACAAAAGAATTGTCATAGAACTTCGTGAACAAATAATTGGTGCTTATCATGTAGAGAGCAATGATTCAATCATTGCCTCTAACTTGGCCATTTCGAAGCAATAGTATGCGATACAATCAACCGATTTAAGAAAACAGGTTCTTCACATCCTGTAAAATGTCCTGGATGACCAAAAATTTTGCCTGAACGTGATAAACGAAATTTAAAACGTATTGTAAAAAATATCGCAAGCCATCACTTAATAAAATTATTAGTCAATTAAATGCACTTACCAAAACCTCAAATACACTTTAATCCTACTCGCAATTACATGGAATTATTATCATTTGAATCTCAAATACAATTCATAAACCTCTTTAACTTTTCGACATAAAAAGAATCGTTTACAATGGTAAAAAAAATTGGAATACTGAATGGCACCAAATTGTATGGTCAGATGAGTCACGGTTTCTCGTACAAGAATATGGCGAAAATCCTCTGAAAAACATTTGAAAATTTGTGTAGTTCCAACAATAAAGTATGGTGGATTATCTGTTATGTTTTGAGGATGTATTGGATGGATGAAATTGGACCTTTGGTAAAGGTTAATAATAATCTCGATTCTGATGGTTATGTTAGCATTTTGGCAAAAAAATTAATTCCTTGGATGAATAATAATTCTATACACCCTTTCAATAAGATGGTACTTCTTGTCATACTTCGCATTATACTACGTAGTTGGTGGGTGCAAACTCATAATATTTCATGTTGGAATGAGTTGCCCAAAGTCCCAATTTAAATCCAATTGAGCATATGTGGTATCAATTAGATTGTCAAATTAGAAAAAGAGAGCTCTTCAAACTTCCAAAAAGGATTTAATAGATTGATGAAAGAATGGCAAAAGTGCCTTTGGATGTTGTACGCAATTTAATTTTCAGTATGCAGCAACGAATTATGGCTGTTATTAATGCTAAAGGATCACATACACAATCTTAGATTTTTACTATTATTCTATAGCTTTTTTCTTTCTAATTATATTGATATTATTTAGTAAAATATAAATTTAAATAAAAAAGTATAGATACTTTTCAAAATCAAAAAATTTGTTAATAATGCACGGTGATTTATCGTAGGTCAGTGTATCACATCCCTCCTAGATCACCTCACGTGCCAATTTAACAAAGATAATATCGATCGATATATATGACAACATTGATAATTTCTCATAACGCATCATTCTTATAAAGGTCGTTATATCATTATGACAGTACATAAGTATCCGATCTCCTCTATCTCGACATAATCATGTGTAACGCCAAGAAATTTTCCGAGCACGAAGAAAGGCGTAATACTGATCATCTACGACTTTTTTGAACGGCAAAAATTGATATTTCTATTAGTTATGTTATTTTGCATTATGTAATAATGCAAATAATGCTACTAATAACGGCAAATTTCATAAAATTCAAAATTTATAACTCTTGCCTGGTTTCTGATTAATCATTTGCCGCAGAGTTTTATCTTTAATTATTATTCTAGCCAGAGTTATAACAATTTTTAATCTCATACCAAAAGTTGATGGCTTATGATGTCTCCCACTGTAATGAAATGCCCCAACCCCTCATAGGACGACATTTCATGGGATTGACTAATTTATGTCGATACAAGCATGATTATTGACCAATCAAATCAAAGAAATTAGCGAAGCTTTATTCATATTTTAAATAGTAATACTATTCTATTTCATTACTATCACATTATAACCCTTGACCTATATTATATTAAACAACATCACTGGTATTTATTCACATTTAGATTTAAAGATTATAAATTAATGATATATATGTATAGGAAGCTTTTCTTTAAGGTTAAACTTACATTACGCATCTTACTTGTCTTTTTTCTTTGACTGTTTTCAGCACAATAGTACATATATAGAGTTGGTAATAATAAATAGTAAAGTTTTTTACCCTCTAAGTTACACCCACATTCCAAAAAATGTGGTTACCGGCGATTCATTCTCACTTTTATGACGTATGTCAGAACTTCTGTATCGGATATGATGTGTTCATAAACTTTCACGATGAATCTGTCACTTACGTAATAACTTGGCATCAGTGATTACGTCCTAAGTGATGATAAATTAGTCATTAGTTATCGTTATATAGAATATTCTAAAAAAATTATCAGTCCACATTTGGCTGATTGATTATAAATGCAGAAATAGATTACAAAAACATTTCCTCTCTATACATCGAATTGAGCGAAATGAGCCAGTTGAGTAATGTTGATAATGAATAAAAGTTATTTAACGTTAACAATATTCACCGTTACCGTTCTTAAATACCCACAACCAGAGACGAACAAATCCAGAGACCAAATTTATCCGAGGATTCTCAAATAAAGTTAAACAATCCTGTGATTCTATTAGTAGGAAAAACAGGCAAGCATTACCAAAAATTTTCATGCTCTCATTTCTTCTGTTAATTAAAGAGGTAATTCATATCAAGGTGCTGGAAAAAGTACACTTGGTAACTTGCTTCTCGACCAGAAACATGACGAAGGATCTTTTAATGTTTCAGCAAACATGGTAAGTGATCACATGTAACCATTACATTCTGAAGCTAATTATGAAACCATATAGGAATCCTGCACGCAAGTATGTGGCGAGTCAGAAGTGACAATCGATGGCCAAAAATTTAACATTGTCGACACTCCCGGAATTTTTGATACAAATAAGCCTGATGCTGAAGTCTTCAAAGAAATTGCTAGAACAGTACATAAATGTGCTTACGGTCTCAAAGCTATCCTTTTTGTTTTCGGTACGTAATAACGAGATAAACATTATCCCTCTTACGGAATGAGGTTTATGACTATATGACGACAAATAATAACTATTATTTTTTATTTACCCTACAGAAGCAAAGAGGTTTACCGAAGAACAAAAGAATGTCTTGGATGGTATAAAAATATTCCTTGGAGAAGACGCAATGAATTATATGATTGCTATTTTTTCCCATGCAACAAAAAAACAGAATGAAAACAAGGATGAAATGCGAAAGGCTTGGAATTCGCTTATTTCCTCATTCATTAAGAATATAGGTAATCGCTGGGGAATATCCCCAGATTCTGACTACTTTCCCCCGGAACATGAAGTACACAAAGCCCGGATGAGAGAGATTAAAGATTTCATTAAGAGCACACAAGGTGTCTATACTACAGAAGCGTTTGAATCCGCTCGGCGAGAACAAGAGAAAAATCGTCGTGAAAAGGAAGAGGAAGAAAAACGAGCAAGAGCGGAGTATGAAGAAAAGTTAAAAAAAGAAGGGGAAGAGAAGGCCAAGAAAGATTATCAAGAAACAGTTGACAAAATTAAAAAAGAATTTGAACAAAAAGAGTTCAAAGAACTGAGGAAACACATGGCAGAAATGGAGGCAAAATTAACAAAAATGGAGTCAGATAAAAGTAATCTGGAAAATCAAGTTGAAGAAATGAAGCGAAAGGTTTTATATCTTATAATTTTTGTATTGCATTTGCATATTTTTTGTATGATATAAATTGTCATGGATAATGTTGATTCTTTTGCATGCTTAAATTTCTATAGAAGACAGACTGTTTTGCTCTTGATACAAAGGTGCAACTCGCCAGTGGTAAATTGTTAGAGATGGCAGAACTCCAAGTCGGTGATCTTGTTCTATGCAATGTCAGAAATAACCTTGTCGAGTTTTCTGAAATATATTTGATATCTCATCTGGGGCATTACGATTATCCTCTTAATATGGTAAAAATTGAATTCACAAACTCCGATGGAAGTAAAGGTAATTCACTTTCTTATTTACTGGCCTTCCTTAAGATCTTCATGATTCAAATACATTTTTTTTGAACAGGTTATATTCGTACGACATCTACACATTGCATTTTCAGTAGCGATTTATCAATCTTATACGCGCAAGATGTGGTACCGGGCAAGACCAAAATTCTAGTTTTGGATGAAGCGAATGAACTTATTCCTGTTACTGTTGATAATCGTGTTATGGTAAGATTGACATGTCATTGACTGAACATGTCTTTCATGTTCTCACTTTAAATTATATTTCAAAATTAGGAAAAAGATACTGGCTACATCAGTTTCTATACACATGCTGGCACCGTGATTGCCAACAATATATTGTGTTCATGCTATGATGATTGCCCACTATCACAACTTTTAATGGATCTGGCGTTCGCACCAATTCGATTGTGGACTAAAGTATTTCCTTCTACCCACCGTCAAAAAGAACTTCACCCATATGTGCAAATCCTAGAAACCGCCTACGTCACTTGGTGTAAAACATTAGAAGGAGTTAAAATGATTTAATGGAGGGATGTGGTTTCTCAATTTGATGTATTTTTTATCAAATCAATTTATATTGAATACAAATTTCGGGTTGTATAAATCACATACTGATTTCGAATAAAAATAATGCTCGATATTCTGATCTTACAAGTAATAACGATAATTAGCCTTATTATTTGCGCTATCATTTATGTCGATGTAATATTAGCACTACTTTCACTTACCATCAAAGATTCTTATTGTTAATTTACATGAAGATTATTTGATTATGTGAAAAATGCATCACTATTATCAATAGCTATCTAAAGGTGAGTTTATCGTTAGAAATTGATCACCAAAAAATGAATCGGTCAATTTAGGATATACGTAATATATATCTCGACATTCAGTGATCCGATTTGGATAAAAATACACCATTCGATATCTCAACTAAACGAATCGAATGGTAGTATTTTATTCAAATCAGATTACTGGATGACAAAATAGTATTTTCGCTCAAATCGGATTGTTATATATTGGGATATGTGTTATAAAATAACTAATTGTACATGTATTTGCGACGTGAAAGTTTATGAACACACAGTATCCGATATAGAAGTTCTAACAATCTATAAAATATATATGACCCATTCTTCATGCTCGGAAAATTTCTTGGCGTTACATATGATTTATGTTGAAATAGGAGGTCGGATACTTATGATTCGCACTGTATTTCCACTATGTAAATTCCCATGAGATATTAACTCGATAAATTCATTTTCTCTTTCAATAATATCTTTAATATACCATTCTAATGTCCGCTCGACGTACATAAAGATTATTTATTATTCTTTATATGTCTAGACAAGGCAAGAACTACTAAATTTGGATGAGATCTGACGGCATCTAAATTTGTATTCAGGCATTATTAGATAGATAGAAGGATGTGTAGAGTGAGGAATCTAGTTAGAATTAGGAATTGAAAAAAGTGTTCTGGCGGAACTATCAGCATTAACGGTAATTAGTAAAAAATACGTTGTATGGAGAATTTAGTATAAAAATCGTTATATCATCAAGGTTCGACTTAGTAGGCATTCATTGTAAAGCACAATTTTGAAAAAGCATATTATTGATAGGAAATATACATACCGAAATACTATTTCTAAATTTTATTTGTAAACATAATATTACATGTATTAGGGAATGATAGCGTAACAATCAAACACTCGATATATAATCATCTAATAGTATATTCCGGCATAAGTTATAATTACATCCAAATAATATATGCATTATGGCTCAGCCTTAAATACCCCCGATAAATTCTTAAAAGTTGTCGTTTACAGTTCGGCAATAATTAATTTATTGATTACACCAAAAATTTGCTTGGGAATATAAGTCGCGTAATGATAATTCAAGCTATAAAAAAAGTGGTTATTGTAATTTTATGTACTCATTTATTAATTCAAAACCAAACATTAAACAAAGAATAAAAGGTTAAAGTGATTGCTCAGTCGCTCATACAAAAAAGAATGATTCAAAAAATTACCCAATGCAAACAAAAAAATCTGTAACCGAATAAAGGGTATTTTCGTGCTATGTACTCTTGAAAATAATCGTGAACGGCAAAATTAACGCATACAAGAAATAATGACGGGAAACATAATTACATATCGTCACGTGAAAATATTTTTATTGAATATTAAAAATTCTCGCTGTTTCTATGGCACTTTTGATAAATTAATTTTCTCTATTGTTTAATACAAAATTAAAATGATTTTAAAGTCAAGTGATTTATTTCGAATATAGATTTCACCAACCATAGATGCCCTTTAATCTTGTCTTCAAAGATGTTTCTCGAAATTTCAGTATTAAAAACTACATGAAAAATCAGCTTATGAATTATATACCGAAATAGCATGGGAAATGTAGTAACAACGCAAAATTATTTGTGTCTCAATATGCAATACTGTGTATAAACATGTAAGTATCATTATGAATAGGCATTTTTCGATATACAAGTGACTTTTGTTATTCTAAATTTACTATAACGAGAGGATTTACTATAGACTGTTTTTTACTATATCAAGCTTTTAATTATTCTTTACTATAACAAGAGTTCACTATAACGAGTCGCTTGTATTTTTAAAATAAAAAATATATTTCTAATATTAATTTCCAGTTTATAATGATATGGTGCACACCATCTAAAGTCATCAAACATTTATATTTATTAAATGTATAAACTTCTCCACTAAAAAGAAAATTCAAAATTTAATCCGTAAATATGGTGGAATAAAGCTTATCGTTATCCTTCCATATTTACGGCTTAAATTTAGAAATTTTCTTCTTAGTTGAGAAGTTTATACACTTTATAAAATATAAATGCTTGATGATTTTAGATGCACCATATAATTTCTGGTTTGTGAGATTGTAATGAAAATTTATAATTTGAGTGATTCCATAATAAAGTTATCCACTGTATCCATTCCTATAAAAAAGCACGTAAAACTACAGAAATTGTAAGAATAGCCACCGGCATGGTACGCACAAACATGGGAAATCCTGTATACATAACTACGTTTCTGGCATGGTTTTTTAACACAGAAATGGCACGAATTTGACGGTCCGTATTTATGCATGCTTATATATACAGAATTTGTCGCGTTTAACATGCTATTTAGGAATATTGACTGTATACATGTACAAAAAGTAACGCGCGATTTATATGTGTAACCATTTTTAATATACGTATCAATATCATAATATTGTTATGTGAGCATACACACAAAATGCCTAAACCTAGCTTGGAGTACTGTTACCGAAGTGTAACAAATTTCATTGATCTCGTAATTTCTGAATGAGCTCATTCATCCCGATCCCAACAAGTTATTTCGATTATCCGAGCTTCTTAGTGTAATGTCCCATCCTTTCTATTTTAAATCGACTCCTGTTTTCCTCTTTTCATCTACATTTTTTTTCGCTTTTGATTTTTTCCCCATTTTTTGCTTTTTATTATTTCCCCGTTTTTCGCTTTCATCTGCCTTTTTCTTTGTGTTTACATTTTTCACTTTCACATTTGATTGACAGCTCATTTTTCATTACTAGTTTTATCTTTTTCATCCATCTTTCGCTTTCGTTATCACCTGTTGTTCATTATTGACTGATCTTTAGATCAGCGTCTTCATGTTTTTTGCTTTTGACTTCACCACCAATTTTTCACTTTTATTTGAATTCATTTTCCATTTCTCATCATTTCACTTTGCTTTCACTCCCACACCTGATTATAATCACGATTTCACTTTTGATTGATTTTACTTTATTTCCTTTTTCTTAAGAAGTTCTCTCTCTTCAATAGTATACTCTATAATGTAAAAATCGAATGTATATATGGTCCTCATGGATGTCAATAAAAATGCAGAATTAATTCTTCTCCAAGTAACATAATTCTTGTAAAATGAAATAATTGTATACAATTCTTTTACCCTATAGTATAGCTTTGTTAAAAGATTAAAATAATCGACAGTTAGATTCTTTGATCCAGAAAAGATATTGTTATTGATTAAACAGCATATTGATTGATAATAAAATGCATTATATATAATAGTTTAAGACTTTTGTTTAGAAAAAGCAATCATCATTATTAAATATTATTAATAGAAGTAATCCATTACTTAAAATTAAAGAAAATTAACTCTCTCAAAATTCTCTTATCTAAATACAAATCCTTATAAAGCCTCTCTAATATTACTAAACCTAATGATATCTGTAGATATCAACACAGAAACTAGATAATGAACAAGTACAAATCAATCTATACACTCTTCTCCCTCAATTGTTATAGGTAAAATCATTAATTATGCTTAATTATGATCTACTTGCAATACTATAATAATTGAGGGAGGAGAGTGTATAGACTAATTTGTACTCATTCATTATCTAGTTCCTGTGTTGATATCTACAGATATCATCAGATTTAGTAATATTAGAGAGACTTTACAAAGATTTGTATTTAGGTTAGAGAATTTTGGGAGAGTTGGTTTTCTTTAATTTTAAGTAACAAGTTACTTCTATTAACAATATTTAATAATAATGATTGCTTTTTCTAGACAAAAGCCTTAAACTATTCTACACAATGTATTTTATTATCAATTAATATGCCATTTAATCAATAACAATATCTTTTCTGGATTAAAGGACCTAACTGTCAATTGTTTCAATCTTTTAACAAAGCTATACTATGGGGTTAAAGAATTGTATACAGTTATTTCATTTTACAAGAGTTACGTTACTTGGAGAAGAATTGTATGCAATTAATTCTGCATTTTTATTGACATCCATGAGGACCATATATACATTTTGATTTTTACATTATAGAGTAAGGGTATTGCTCTAGATTCTATTACTATGTGTACTATTGAAGAGAGAGAACTTTTTAAGAAAAAGAAAATAAAGTAAAATCAATCAAAAGTGAAATCATGACTATAATCAGGTGTGGGAGTAAAAGCGAAGTGAAATAATGAGAAACGGAAATGAATTCGAATAAAAGTGGAAAATTGGTGGTGAAGTCAAAAGCAAAAAACGTGAAGACGCTGATCTAAAGATCAGTCAATAACGAACAATAGATAATAACAAAAGTGAAAAATGGATGAAAAAGATAAAACGAGTAATGAAAAATGAGCTGTCAATCAAATGTGAAAGTGAAAAATGTAAACACAAAGAAAAAGGCAGATGAAAGTGAAAAACGGGGAAACAATAAAAAGTGAAAAACGGGTAGATGAAAAGCGAATTTCGTAAACGAATTACTTTTTTTGGAAAGAGGAAAACAGGAGTCAATTTAAAATAGGAAAGATGGGACATTACACTAAGGAGCTCGGATAATCGAAATGACTTGTTGGGATCGGGACGAACGGGCTCCTTCAGAAATCACGAGATCAACGAAATTTGTTACACTTCGGTAATTATGCCTAATTACGATCTACGTACTTGCAACAATACGTACATGTACATGTATTTAGTGACTAAAATAAGCCTAGTTATAT